CCTGCAGCACACGTCCGCGAGTTTCAGGAGGGCTTTTCCTCCGGTTCCTGGCACAGCAGAGACTTATGTCAGCGTTTGTCAGCATGGAAGTGCCGGTGATTTCCCTTGAGGCCTCTAACCCTGCCCATTGCTGCCCACAGCAGGAGAAAATAGCTCCTCTGAATGCTCTGTCCATCCTGCTGGGGAGTGGATCCATGCAGAAAGAGAACTGGAAGGGTAGCATGGTCCTGGAGCCCTCTGTGATACTGAAATAAAGAGTTACCAGTTTTGCTTTTGAGAGTGGAAAAGGCTACTGAAAAGTTGTAACAAATTGTACATCCTTGTCTTGAAGGAGAGAGAAGAAAGAAAGGAATTGAAAGATCCTGGAGATGTGCTGGAGGGAGTCCGTCAGGGCTGCCCTGTCCTGCCATTGCAGGCTTTGGCTGGAATAAAAGCAAGACCTTTCTTTGCAGTGAAATGAGGTAGTGTCACAGGGAAGAGGCAGGGCACACAAATCAGTTGTGAAGGGATTTGTGGAGGATCGTCCCGTGCATGCTGTTTGTTCCTCGGTTCAGTGTGTCACAGACCCCTGGCTGGGGAAGGAATGGTGCTGGTGGGATATCTTTCAGTACTGTGCTCTACCTTAGAGACTTTTGGGGGCTTCTCCGCCCTTCTGTCTCCAGGAAATTAATTCACCATAAGAGCAGCAAGTTTTGCTTTCCTATGATAGAGGCTAGACTGAAGGATCTACTGACTGTCCAAAGTAGGGAAGTTAGCAGCAGGTTGACTTCAGATCCTTGTGGGGTGAGATTCCTTTGTAGATCTGCATAGAGGGCTCCTAGCAGAGGCATCATCGCTTCTCTTACAGAAACCCGCCTCACATAGTTACTCTTTTCAGAAAAGATGTTTCCTTCTGCCCTTGTCCTGGAGAGTCTTCTCCCTTAGTAGGGAGTCTTAGACACAAGTTAGACTTGCCTTAGACGCAAGTCCTGCCTACATTTTAGAGCCAAGAGGTATTTGAATACCATAAGTTCACTTTGTGCTCAGGACATAACAGCTTAAGCACTATTAGACATGAGCACAGGCTTCACACATTAAAATGGTCCATTAGGCAGCCTTTGTAGCAATTCAGCATTGTTCTTTCTCTCCTTTGTATAATTCCACTCTTTAAGGGCACACTGAAGAAAATCTCATTGCAAATCTACTTGCCTATCTGACCACCTGTGTAAACTGTGACTCTTCTGTCGAACTTTAATACAATGTCTGAAGTGTGGAGCATAATCACAGCAGATTCCAAGCGCTAAGAAATCCCAAAGCAGCTCCCTTGAGAGCTACAGGCTCTTAATGGGACCATCAGGAGCTCTGAGCTCATCAGTGAAGACAATTTAGCCATGGTAAAAAAACAGTAATTAACTTTTGAGTTCAAGGGGCTCTTTAAAATAGAAAAAAAATTCCATATCAGCAGAATGTTTATACATGTTACCTTCATCTGCTTCATCACAAACATCTGAGCAATGAATTCTGGAACTCTGTTAAAGTGTAACTGCCTGCCTGCGTTAATATTTGATACAGCCATTCCTGGATCTTGTAAATGTTTTTTCTGTAGCTATGAGAAAGAGAAAATTTCATTTTTGTAGCTGAACCAGAGACTCCTGTTTTAAAGTTCCATTATATGATATAGTGCCAGCATTCAGAGAGCCATCCTGTGCTTTTTCCTTTGAATCTAACTACATAGGAATAATTTAAATTATATGCAAAAAACTCCCAAACCCTCTGGTAGTTAGAGCTAGCTTTGCTTTCCACAGACCACACATAGAACAGGAGCCAGTACAAATGGTTGTTGACATGCACTGGGCACGAAGGGATCCTGGTGGAAGCACGAGTAGGAGTTGCGTCCCTTTTGCACAAAAAGTATCCCCATGACCAGCAATACAGGGGAGCCTGCAAAGACCTGCTGAGCCCGGAGAGGTGGGAACCTTACAAGACTATTCTTGTTTTGAAATATTTACCCTCTTTCTCTGTCTAGGGTGCCGTGTGCTCGTGCTTGAATCAGTAAATCTCTTCCGGAAGTACATCTCCGTCCTGGATGTACCCATTTCCTGCGTCCTGCCCAGAGATGCACTCTTCATACTTACAGAGGAGGAGACTGAACAAGCCAGGGTGAGATGCATGGTACCTGCTTAACCTGTTTGAATAGCTCATCATCATTGTGGAGACTTCAGTCAGAAGTCTCATATTCAGAGAGAACTTCAAAAATAATTGCATACATGGATTATAAATGTCACTAATGAACAATCTTCAGTGATCTGTAAAACATGAACGGACAAGACAGGTTGCTTCATGTGCTGTGTGGATAGCAGGCCACTGCTGAGCAGATTTGCAGCTCAGAGATCTTCAGTAGTCACAGTGCACTGAGTTTTACACTATGTCAAGGATGTAGGATGTATTTCAAAGGAGACCGGATCCAACATAATATTCTGAACATGTGAGTGGCCTCTTAAAGAATGGCATGCCCGCATGCCAGAAACAGTGTCCTTTGTTCTCTTACTAAAGATGGAGACAGCTTGTGAACTTGCAGCCCAAAGTTCTTTACGAGTTCCTTTCTGTATTCTGTACTCTGTATTTTTAGAACTATTTTGCCACATGAGGTCTCATACATTGAGTCCATAGTTCCCTATATCAGAATCTGATTAGGTCCCCTTCTATAGCATGAAAATATTTGCCCAGGAAACAGTCCTGTTAATCCACAAATTACAGAACTTTCCTGCTTTTGAGGCTGCTAGAAGATAAGAGTTACATATGGAAACTGGTCTGATAAAGGTGGCATTATTCCCTTGTGTTTTTTGTTTCTGAAATCTGACCTTTGTAAGCTGGTGTACTATAAATAGATAAAGTTAAGTTTCAGCTGCCAACCTGTGATCGGAAGCAGCATGCAAAGTGTTCTCAGATACACACCTATTAGGTTTCTGTTTCCAGCTTGTGAATACCCAGGCGTGAGATCACATAGGGAGAAGGAGTTACATATGACAAAGAGACTGTCACAGCACCAATGTCCAGCTGATAATGTCCTTTCTAGCAGGACCCCTCTGAACACCAGGCAGCACAACAGCAGCAACATAGGGTCAGACAGGCCCCTCCCTGCTCTTTGGCCCCATAGAGTAGGCAGCCTTCTACCTCCCACTACTTCTTCCCTGCTCACTGAAAACAGGCTGTCCCATCAATTGGCAGTGAACTTCAAAGGAGGCCTAGGAAACTGCCCTCACATTAGGTCTGGAAGGTTCTTGTAATGCTTTCTCAACTATTTTTCCTTCTAGAGCGCCATGCGGTGTCATCGCAGCCAGCTCCTCTGGTTTCGCCACATCTATATGCTTTTCTCACGTTATATGGTGATCAATTCACTCCACCCTCTGTAAAAGAGACACCGCTCACAACTTCGGGAGTAAAAGAATGAGTGAAAAAAAGACTGTGTCAGTCCAAGGACTGAAGAAAACCCACCTGTTACAAGCTCAAGAGGACAGGATTCTCTTTGTGTAGTGTTCTTTCAGACTACAAAAAACAGGCTGTATGAACTTGCTTCTGAATATCTTGTTGCCCGATACATTGAGATGAACAGGGTTTAACAACTATTCTATTTTCTCACTGTAGAAGCTAAATAGGGTAAGAAATTTTGGTTAACCTAATTAGGAATAAAATGCAGGAGTATTCTGCATCAGAGAAGATATGGCATAAACTATTTTTCCCCAAGAGGATATAGGGCATTTTTTAAAGCCAGATTTGAAACACAGGAAATATCCATACGAAGATTAGAATTTTTTTTTTGTACTTTGCTTTGTTCGTTGTGATTTAAACTTTAGCACAGCTAAGGGTAAAGTACCAAAATAGCAGCCCTGGAGTTGTTTATGGAACAGAGGTAGTTTGAAAACTGAAAGTCACAATCGAATGGGGCAGGCAGCATAGAAAGATTTATTTAAGAAACAGAGAACAGATAACAAGAATGTAGATACTGATTTTGCCAACCCTCACCCAGGAAAGCCCAGACTACAGTTCCACGGCAGTGCTCCAAGTTCAGCTGCTGGAAGGGTGTGTCAGGGTTTTGACATGTCTCTGATGGTCTTATGTTCCTTCACTGCCTTCTCCCATTCCTTGCCATTGATATCCTCTGTTACAACGGTCTGCACGGTGCCATCATCCAGACAATGAGGAGCTATTCCTGAAGAAAGAGAACACAGAAACCTGATTTTCATAGCTAAAGTGTGGGAGATGCCTGCACCACTCTGTGGATGGGGCATCTCAGGGAATGGTGAATGCTCAGTCCAGCTATTGCTGTAAGGCTGAGGAGCCTAGATGAGAAACCTGTCATGGTCGGAAGCCCACAAGTCATTAGTAAGACTATTTCTTATGGAGGAGCTACAGGTTCCAGATGTTTAGCACTTTAGGAACAAACAAGACACATGCTGCTCACTGCTGTCATGTTAGTAGCCAATGGAGCCTTTATCCAAGGTTTGCTTGGTGGTTAGCTTTGGTTACCACAGTTTACTCTTTCTACGTACCATAACCATCTGGATTAGAACGAGGAGTATAAAAGCTCTGTACACCACAGGTCTTGCAGAATGTGTGCTGGGCACAGTGTGTGTTGAAGGTGTATGTTGTCAAATTATCAGCACCCTGAGCAAATGAAAAGCAATGTAAGTTTTCCACGTAAATAGATGTATTAATTACTTTCTATGGGCCTGTAGCTAAGAAATGTAAAATTTAAAATACCACCTTCATGTCTTTACTTGAGATACAGAGTTCCGCATTCATGCTCCTTTTCTGAACCCCTGTGCTTTGTATATATATGTGTCCATCCCACTCAAGCCTGAGAACTGCAAGAGCTCTAACGTCAGCTCACTATAAATAAGATGCACTAACACACCTGCACCTAATGGCAGCGGGTGTGTTAAAAATTCAGCCATCTCCCCCAACCAGCCATAGACAGACTTAGGACAGAAAACTGGCTGTCACTTGCATCTTTGAGGATTAGCACTGGATTATACTGTTGGTATTCATGGCCATGCTCTTACTGCATTCTTACTCTACCTTCAGCAGCTTGAAACGTGACGCTGGGACAATGAAGTGTCTGTTCTGTTTCTTTGTGCAAATGCTGCAACTGTAAAAGAAAAAGCAGACCTTTCTAGAAGCAGTGGACAAGTTGTAGTACGGCAATCGGATCTAGCATGGACCTCTTGACAACAGGAATTCCAGCTGCAGCTAAAATGGCTCCTGGTTAGCATCACAGAGGTAAGCAGCAGAAGTGGACTCGTGGTATCAATAGTGTTTGGCGAGGCACACCCATAGAACAGACTGACCCTGTTCAGGTACACTAAGGTATTCTCCTACACCAAACATTACATGCCATTTTTTCTTCACATACCCAACTATCAACAGACATAACAAGGACAAACTCTAGCCCTGAGAAATCCATTTAATCTTTCAGATTGGACTTTGCCAATTTTGCCAACATTAATTACCTTGCAAACAAGAAAGCAAGGTTCAGAAGTTTACCCATGAGCTAGAAGCAAACTAGTTGCAGGCAAAGGGGGATCACTATTGAAATCAGACACTGTTGTAATTTGAAGCATATGTGGTCAGACATGTAATGTGCACTTGAGAAGACCAAGTTAAAAAAGGATTGATGTGTTTTGAGCACATTGCACTTGGAGGAAACTTAAAGCAGATGGCTGAGCCCTTGTACTCATTAGATCCTTCCAGACACTTTCTGCGTGAGCCTGGATGTGGGACCTGAAGTCCTGCCCAAAGAAGCAGCACCTGAAATCACCAGGACTGATCCCATATTGGATCAGGACATAATTAGGGGTATACCCTATGGAAACAGCTCAGAGGATGTTCTGCTGTTGTGTCATCTTCTTTAACACTAAGGTATTGATTGGAAAAGCATACAAGCTTATATTCATCTATGAGTATAGAGAACAAAAAAAAAAAACCAAACTCACTTGCAGTTAAAAACATGCAGATCTGCTGAAGCCCAGACCTCAAAGCGGACGGCTCCACAGTGACAGCCTCCTGTGTGTTTGACCAAACCTCTGTATTCACTGGAGAGAGAAACAACAGAGAGGTTTTGCGATCATACTTTTTGGGGGGGGGACGGGGACAAGAAAACAGTAAGGCTATATAGTACATTATTCACTTCTGCTTTGGGCAATTGCAGAACAGCAGAAAATGTATCCACTCAAATGTATTTTAATAAAATGTGCCAGGGTGAGCTAGAGAACGGCTTTTGTCCTCTGCAGCAATTGCTTCTCTGGTTTAACCGAAGTGGTGAAAAGAAAAGAAGAGCAACAGTTTAAGTAAAGTACACTCTGCATGCAATACAAAACATCTGCTCCCCTGCCACAGGTCAGGTCAAAATGCTGACCCAGGCTACAGCATTATGCATGCACAACAGTACTTAGAAATTAGTGGCATTATCACAAGACAACACTCTTGGAACTGGGACCTGAATTTTCCCACAATTTTCCCACAACCACTCCAGCACTACTAATATTCCTCCACTTAAAAGCTGGGAAAAGCAGAGATAAATGGATTCAACATAATATTTGAAATGCATTTTATTTTGTATTGTAATTGCAGAGGAACATGGTTAAGTAATTCTTGAGCTTGTGCTTCTCCCTCTCCCCTGGGACGCCTCCATAGCACCTGGGCAGAACCACCACGCAAAAGGTCAAACACAAAATGCAAAGGAAAACCCTTTTCCTTTCAGATTTTCACTCCCACGGACAGTTACTGATGACAGCCCAGCGATGATGAGCTGCGCTCTGGAAAGAAAGAGCACAGGAAATGGGTGGAGATATAGAAGCTGAGCCGCCCTGATCCCGCACGATGCCCCCAAGGGCATTTTTTATGGCAGAGCCCTAGAACACAGGAAGCTTTATCATAAAAAGCCACTTTCTCCGTGGTGCGTGCGGGGACACCCCCCCGCCCTTCTCTGCAGCTCTGTGCAAAGGCTGCCAAGAGGACGGTGATCTAACGGGGGAAGGAGCCGCCGGGCAGGGTGGCTCAGCCTGGAAGCTGCGGGAAGAGCCGCCCCGGCCCTGTACTCACTAGGCG